GTATGGTCGTGTTGCTCTCTCCGATATACTTTTTAGTAGGATTTTAGTCTTAGTAAACTTGGACTAATTTATTGATAAGTATATTGTTTCTCCCTTTTGATGTTTTTTACAACGTATTCCACTTCAGTGCTAAAATTAAATCTTGTTGATGTCAGTCCACCACAATGTTTTAATCCTTGCGATATTTGAAATGGATCTGTCATCTCATGTTGTATCTATACCTGAGCCACTGTATCCGACATCGTCATTCGAATGAGTCTTATTAATTTAGAAGGTATTTCAAATGCACTTAATATTTTGTATAAGTGTGCCTTGTTTATTGAGCCATATGTCTGTTTAAAGTCAAAGAAAATATTATAGACATCTATGTCATGTCTCAGGCTTTGCTAAAAACCTTGATCGATGGTTGATCTTGCCTGCCTAAATCCTGCCTAATATCCTCCTATGATCCTATCTGTGAGGGATTGTAGTCGATCGTTAAGTATTCTGGTAAATATTTTATATCCATATCACAGTAGGGAGATTCCTATAGAGTTTTGACAGAGAATCTTATCGTCTTTTATGGATAGGGCAGATGATACTCTGATTCCACTCTTTTTGCATTTTCTCTTATATTCACATTCTGTGTATGACCTTATATTATTTTCTTATTTCACTTCCTCCCAACTTGGGCCTTGTTATTTTTTTGTAGTTTGATTACCCTTTCAACCTCTTCTATTGTCGGCGGTTGTGTTATTTCATTCTCTTCATTTTCTTCTCTTTTTTGTGTACACAGTTAACCAGCTATTCGTCTTTTATTTTCAAATACCATTTTTATTTCTCTAGTTCGTTTAGTCAAATACATTCTATGTGTATCTCGCTCAGTGTAAGTCCTCCTCAAAAGCGGCGGTCGGAAACCATCCTGGAAAGCCAAACAATATGGAGGATGAACCGACTGTACGACAACCGCAAGGTACTAGGCCGCAACTCTATATTTTATACACCAATGATATTTCAGACATTAAAGAAGATATGAGAGGCATTTTTGCTGAGAATCAAGCTATCCTATTAGTTTAAAAGCATGAAGAATCTGCAAGAAAACTGCAGATAAAATCAATCATTAGACAAAAAATGGAGAATTAAAATTAATGGTATATAATCAGTGCATGTCAACTTTATCTATAATAGACAGCGACATTAGCCTATTAGACTAGATAACACCCATGTTCATGTTGCATATTATGCAAAATATCTGGGGTTACATTTGGATAAGAGACTGCGTTGGAACGTTCACATTAAAAAGAAGAAAGAAGAGAAATTCTAAACTATCCATTTATAACAACGAACGATTTACAAAAAAATACTAAGACTGGTATGATCATACTTTTTTTACATATTTAAAGAGAAGTAGGAAAATCTGCATACAGACATCTGTGCCTCACCTAGATAGTGTTGGGTTTCTAATACCCCAACAAAATTGTACCAGGACAAGATGCTCGAGGGAGTTCGACCTTTGACACTTCGTTCCGTCACTACTCCGACACGCTCGGCGTCTAACTAAAAACCTCCCTTTGTCACTTTAGACATCAGAATAGAAGAGCTAGTTATGGCAAAACATCTCTCCTGATGTCCTGCTTTCACCCGATTCTCATTCTTTCTCGCACCCATTTATTGTAAAACCACACTCACACAAACCACCGAAGACTTTCAATCCTCTGCCTTAGCGAGGCTGCCATCTCTCTGGGGTCGTCTGTCTCTCATTAACTCTTATTTCGGCCTGCGACAGTCCCAACCCCACCGAGGTGCTACGCGCTCGTTTCAAAATTCTGTTGTGAGTTCCCTTTCCCTTCGTTCTCTTGATTCTGGACATACTGCGCACAGCTCTGGGGATGGCACCCGTGATATAAGCAAATATAAGGATACAAGGTTTGTATTTGTATCATGGACGGCACCAGTAAAAGCAACATTGAAGTAACAAAGAGGTTTTAGATAATGGTACCAAGGACCAGCGTTGATGTATTATGCTACGTAAAAACAGCTGCATCCACCGAGATCTCAAGATGAGGGCAGTAGAACAACTAATTGCCAAATGTGCCAACAGACATAAACAACGTCTACTTTAATATATGAATATCAAGATCGAGATCATCCAAATCCTCGATACCACAGATATAAAAAGAAAGCTCAAGAGGACAAAACCCTTCGAGTTAGTGAAGTGAAAATAGTTGGTATAAGTGCGAACTCAATATACCTGTCTAGGGTGTAAATATAACCGTAAGTTAATACCTATAAAAAACATTGTTATATATAAAAAAAACATTAAAACTGTATTAATTTAGATTAGAATAGAACTGCTCACTTATCTTGTTGGTAAGATTGTAGTACCAAGAACCCTCAACTTGTTGGTATAATAAAAAAATGTCTCATGAAAAGTGATCAATTTTAACTTATAAAATCTAAAAAATAATGAGTGTAAAAATTCAAAATTTGTAGAAGATCATGCAGAAAGCGGTATTGCTCTAAACATCCATATGCATAAGATTTTTTTTTTTGAGATAATACTCCGACTTATTAGGTTACCTAGTGCCGTAGATTTTTCAATGACCTTAATGAATGGGGGTTAAAAACAATGGTTGTGTCCTAGATTTCTCAGCCCTTTACCAGCCGATATGTACGGCACTGCAAAAATGCAGTGCTGTACTGTATCAATTGCCGAAAATGGGGTCGCAGGTCATTATTTTTGTATTACCTACTTAAGTTATAAATACCGTATGTTTGGGCAAAATGCCCCCCACACGTGAGTGGTAAGTTTATTTTACCTGTGTAGTCACCGGGCGGGCATGTTTTCGACGCTAAAGTACCTGAGGGTCTTAAAAGTACCCTTGTTTTGGACGCTGCCGGAAGGATTATCGCAGGTACCAGATATTAGATATAATTAGGGTTTAATGATGGTCATTGAAATTTACTTAGTTACTAGTTATTAGTTTGTCAGAGAATAGTGAAAAGTGAACATGGAAATTTTAACGTTAGTAAGTAATCGTGGTAAAATTTTGCTCAAAGTGAACAGTTTTACTTTTTCTCAAGATAAAGTACTAAAATCGGGAAAACCGTATTCTAGGTGCTTAAAACGGTCGTGTAAAGCGAAGATATTCACGAAAGGGCCAGAAAAGTTAGTGATCCGAAGTACTCTAGAACATAATCACGAGTGTGATATCAAGACGCTTAATAGACAGATTGTGCGTAGCAGTGCCAAAAGGATGGCTAAGGATAATTTGACCGAAAGGCCGTCCAAAATCATACATAGTGCGTTGAAAGAAAATGTAGATTGCTTGAGCCACATGTCTGTTAAAGACGTTAATTTAATACGAAATCAAATATACAGTAAACGGCGAAAGACTCAACCGAAACTGCCCAAAAGTAAAGAAGAAACTATTGCTGCGGTAAATATTATGAATATCAAAACACTTAAATACGAGAATTTTATATTTGCGTTTGAACTAAGTTCTAACATTATCATCTTCTCGTGTAACACTAACATGCATTTTCTGTGCGGCAGTGAAACGATTTTTATGGACGGTACATTTAGTTACTGTGCTTAATATTTCAAGCAATTTTTTACCATACATGTATTTATCAATGGACATTATATACCATTGTGTTATTGTTTACTTCCCGACAAATCGGAACAAACCTATATAAAACTATTTAATGTTTTGAAACGCGTAATTGGTCTAAAATTCAATCCAAAAATCATTTTCTCCGATTTTGAAATTGCTATCCACAATGCTGCGCGTTTTGAATTTCCAAATGTGCACATTAAAGGGTATCGTTTTTATCTTATGCAAGCTTGGTATCGTAATATCGGTGGTTGTGGCTTTATTCGGGAATATAAATTGGCAGACAGTGGAATATCTAAATGGCTGAAATATATTTTTGGGCTGCCATTTTTACCTCCCTCAGAAGTCGAAGAATCTTTCATATATCATTTTATGGCTATTCAACCAAAGGATTTAAAAATTGAAAAGTTTTCCGACTACTTATTGAACAACTACATTGGCGACCACGCAACATTTCCGTCGGTGATGTGGGCTGCGATGAGTGAGAGTTTACAATTAACAACTAATGCTTGTGAATCGTTCCACTCGCGTTTTAATGATAATGTTTACCATGTTCATCCAAATATTTTCCATTTTATTGATGTTTTAAAAAATTTTCAAACTGAAACTTACATTAAAATTAATAGTGTCTGTAATAGTGAAAGTAATAGACTTTAAGATCCAAAGAGTAGAAAAAAAATTATGTTCGTTAGAAATAGGATACATGAGTATCAAACTAACTGTATCGATGGATTCTATTTCGTAAAATGTATGTCGTATTTATTTCAAAGTGAGAAATAAACCTTATCAAGCTTAATCTCTAGAATTTTATTATCTGACTTTCTATTTACATTTCAATTACACCCAGCGTCCAAATCATGTATGCAGAAACAGGTAATTTTATTTTTCAGTGTTGAATTTTAAATTTAGCGTCCAAATCATGCACGCCCTAGTCACCTGTAGGTACCAATAAAAATGGACGGCATAATTTCTAAAGTTGTTATTACATATTGTAGTATTATGACCCCTTAAAAATGTCCCATGGGCTTGTAGTCTAGCCCAGGACTAAGTATCTGAGATAAGTGAAATATATTTTTGTTCTAAAAATAAATTTCTGCTCCCGTCTTTGAAACATAATTGGCCATAGAAAGACTTACAGAAATAAATTTTATTAAAATATTCCATAATAATCAGTGAAAGTTTGAATTTGAGTTGTGCCAACTATACAAGAACAAAAATTGGTAGAACACATAAAATACAAACAAGTAAAAATCATAGTAGAAATTAAAAATAGCAAAGCAAAAAAACATACAAGATGTATATAAAGTTGCCTGGTGTTAGTTAAACAACTCAAATATTCATATCCAATCAAAGCACGTAGTTCTTTTTGACAGCTTGTCGTTGATGTCATATGTCACCTTTCACAATGTTGTTTTATGTGTTTCGTAATAAATGTAATTAAAATATCAACATGGCGTTAAAAAGTTAACGTGTAGTGATATGAGGACAATAAAAATAGTTTATTAATAATGTCCAACGCACCATCAAATCGCCGTAATGGTGCACAAAAAATTAGATTAACAAGTGAGTAAAATATAGTGTACTAACAAAAATGTGAATCATTTAGCAGCACGAAACATTGTTTTATAAACGTCAAGTTAACATGGCCTCATTGATTACTTCCTAGATTATTAATCCATATTACATCCCGTGTAATAAATTTTAATCTAATTTCACTTTTTATTTGCAGTTTTATGTGCTAGAAACTTAGTCAGGAAGGATTTATTTCGTGAGTACAAATTTTTCCTATTAAATGATACAGGGTGTTCCAAATTATAAATTATTCTTGTTAGTTGTCAAAGAATGGCATAAAATTAACATGGATTTGCATTTATTCTATAACAAAACAGCTCGACTTTCAACTAGGCTTTGTTAAAAAGTACTTTACTGTAGAAAATAAGTACCACTTGTTTACAAAATTTTCATTTGTTACAAATTACAATTATCAAATTATATTTGAATTACGCTGTTAGAATAAATGAATAATGGGTATAAAGATAGCAAAAATGATAATAAAAATTAGGCCACTTAATCTATAGATACCAAATATTGTTTTATGATTTTTGGTACTACTATACTAAATATATCATTGCAATTACATCAGTCTATTGTCATGAATAACACAAATATGTACATATTACATTGTTGATTAAGGTGTAAAAGTATTTGCAATACATAGGTATTTTCATACTTCAGAAACTTCATTTCACAAGATACCTACTGCCAATAAACATTCTTTTAAAATTAGTCAAAGTTTTTGTTTTTGTATTTTTTAGATGTTTGAGAATGCAAAAGATCTGCAAAGTTTGACACAATCACTGTGATTTGTCTGAATATATTGAAATATCTTCCTTATAAATTTCCTAATAATTAACTACTGCAAATAGTTAACAAATTATTAACAGTTATGAGTAATTTTATCCTTGATGATCTGTCAAGTCTTTTTCAAACTGAATTTTGTCACTTCCTAATATTTTAGAAATAATAATTTTGTGAATTCTGTATCAAAACATCACAATATAATTATGCAGGTGTAATAATGATAAAAAAAATTGTCTAAATGACGAACAACTGGATAGAGTGTAAGGTAGAATCAAACAAAATCAAATCAAAAGTGACAAGACAGCTCAAAATTTTTATATAAGTTTTTTACACAACACTTGGTTATAGTTATATTCTTCTTTATGGAGGAGCTTAGTCAAATTCAATTGTTGACAAGTGTAATAATTTTTTGGCTATAGGTATCTTCAAATTATTAGACTAGAGTAGATTAGACTTTAGGCATAGACATAATACAAATAGACTGAGCGCTGTAATGCAGACATGTTCTCCCTGTGTTGCAGGGAAAGCCTACACAAAGCAGTCTGTGCACTCCTTTCTAATGGTCAGCGTTTATCAACTATGTGAACTAAAAGAGCAATCGGAAGGTCACATTGTCAAAAAATCTAGCCCATGAGAAAGCATGGCTTAGTCTATTTTATGTATGACTTTAGGTTATTCAATGTAATCTAAAATTGACTAAGTGGTATAACAACATACAAAATTTTTTTCCTAATAAACCATGGTTTGACATAATATATAGATAGGTGGCATATTACTACCATTATTTTATGTAAAATCAACATTCGGGATAACTCATACTTACTGTGAATGTGGACAAATGGAAACATTAGAACACATATTTTGTGAATGTCCAATAAACAAAATAAAAGATTATAATGTCTATCAGGAGCTGATCACAATTAATATTAAAACTCCAATTAACATACCAATGCTTCTATGCGATATTAACCCTAAATTTATTAAAATTCTTCTCAGATTCCTACAGATCAACCATATAAAATTATAACATTTATAATAACCTATCCAATATTAATATGTAAACTATTTATAAGAAAACAAAAAACATAAATAAATGTAGATACTATCTAGATAAAATGTCTATATTCACTGATAATAGGGCATGAGATGTATTCTCAGACTCATGACAGTGGCCCAAAAATTAACAAAACAAATGTACTGGCTGATTATTAATGAAAATAAAAGCCAAAAAGAAGAAGAAGAATTTTGTTGTCTTACCCCAATATGAACTTGGTACAAATTAGCAGTCTGTTTTACTCTAATATTTTTTTAAATAAAAATATAAACCAACTGTTTCTTCCCAATAAAAAATTGTGCTTTTAAGTAATTAAGTTTATTAAAATATCTGCTGTATCTAAAATTATTTGTGTATTCTTTTTTACATTTCTCTTTTGTGTGTCTACATATTTGATCCAAACTATATCCTATATATTTATTTATTTATTTCAATGGTAGAACCATTTACAATAAAATATAACAAATAGTAAAAAATAAAGATCATGTACAATAAACATCAAAACAATAACAAAGAAACAAGTAAACAGTTAAAATTTGTACATTAAAACAGTATATCAAATCACAAATATTTAAAAAAAGTGCCAATATCACATATCTGGATTAATAGGCAGATTCTTAAGTTGCCGTTTGAAAACATTAATGTTTGGGCAGAACGGATCCAATAGGAGGTAATTGCAAGAGCTGAGCATTCTCGACAAGGGAAAATGACGAGCATAATCAGTCCTATGAAAATGAATATAAAAGAGTGCAGTGTGTCAAGGTCTATGTATTGTGTTTAAGTGTACATTGACTAATAACGAGGGACAAATAATAACATTGTTTAGCATTTTAAACAAAAATAACATATCAGCTCTCAACCTGCGGTTCTTCAATGTAGCAATGTTAAATCGAGACATTATTATAGAATAATATATGAAATAATTTTTAGTATTTTTTATATTAATATGTGCTTTAAAAGCTAAAGCTCTTAGAAGCTTCCTCTGAATGCTTTCCAATCCAATGTATTTTGATGAAATGGGGACCAGACAACAGAGCAGTATACAAGACCTGAGCATACCAGAGAGCAATACAATAATCTGAACACAATAGGTGAGAGATCATGACTGTTACAATAAATAAAACCAAGATTACGAAATCTTGTTTCCCTAATTTTAAGAAAATTGCTTCTAAATGTCAATGCACAATCGAATAATATACCCAAATATCTAATCTCAGTAACTAAATCCAAGAGAACATCATTAGGAACATATCTATTAGCTATTAGATTATTTATATGATCAAAGAAATACAAGAACATGTAGTTGGATTTAAGCTTAAACCATTTTGTTTTGACCATAAACATATATTATTTACATCATCTTGCAGGAGATCTCTATCCAATTTATTATGTATACAACGAAATAACTTAAGATCATCAGCAAATAGCAGGAAGTTTGAGTTTTGATAGCCTTACCAATATCATTAATGAACAAGTTAAAAAACAAAGGATGTACTACAATGAGACCCTTGTGGTACACCAGAATTACAATGAAATTCTTTTGAAATATAATTGTTAATACAAACTGGATGTGTAAGTCCCATCAGAAAACATTCCAATTAACAATGAGGTCACCAAAGCTAGATACATGAAGTTTGTGGACCAAAAGATTATGATTAACCTAGTCAAAGGCGTTTGAGAAATTAGTGTAAACGCTGTCAACCTGAATTTTATTCTCAAATGCACCCAACAAGTATTGTTGGTAATTGACAAGGTTTGTTAGGACACAAGAGGTTAGAATTGACAAGGATTTCCCGTTAGAAAAACCATGTCATTCATCAATGATTATGTTTTTGCAAGCCCAGGTGAGATTTATCAATACCAATTTATCAAGAAGTTTTTGGATTACTGATTGAATAGTTATACCTCTATAATTGTTAATACACTTGTGGTTGCCAGATTTATAGGTAGGTGTAAGAAAACTATTTTCCATATTTTCATAGTGTAAGAATATTGTGGAAATACAGATGATGACATTAATAAATTGAAAATGTGTTGTAAAGGTTTAGAAAGGAAAAAAATACAGTTCTTAATAAGTGTTGCAGGTATACCATCAGGCCCTGAAGGATATGTAGTTTTTAAACTCCTAAACCCCTCGGAAACTTCAGTCAGACTAAACTTCAGAATATGGAAATCCACACTATAGTCCAATTTAAAATTAGGGTTAATATATATTGCGATTTAATATTGTGTTAATTGATCTAGTTTATTATTGAATGTTGTATTAATATTTCATACATGTGAATCCTTAAAATAAGTATGACTTACTAATAAGAATTTCACCGACATGTGCAGAAATTACCCTCACAAGCTCTAAGAATTTTAATTGGAAACATGTACAAGTGATTTATAACAAATGTATCTCACAAGTTGGTATATTAGTAAAACCAACTAGAATCTAAGTTAAAATGAAGTTTTATACTAAATTAAAATATTCTAATAATTATTTGTTACACTTAAGTTTGTTTCATTAAATAAATATTAGATTGATTCAAAGTTTTATTTGTGACTGTGAAATATAACTTGTAATAATCTTCTTCTTCTTCTAGTGCTGATTCCACTAATGAAGGTTAGCTGTAACCATTTCAAATTCGTCTCTATCTTCTGTTTTTCTTAAAAACATTCTGTTCAACACCATTTAGTTTGTAATATCATCAGTAATTGGTATTTTCAAAATAACTGTTTCTTCTAAAAAGCCACATCTCAAAGTTTCCTCGTTAAGTTAAAAAGCTTTCTCGTTAAGTCAACATCAACAGTCCAAAAGTAATGAAAACATGATAGGATGTTTCAAAAGACAAGTATTAAGGTGAATGTATGGAGCAGTTAGTGACAATGGAGTGTGGAGAAGATGATACAACTTCGAACTTTATAGAATATACCAGAATCCAAATATCGTAAAATATATTAAGATGATAGATCTTCTCAGGTGGATAGGACATGTAATGTGGATGGAACAGAATGACCTAACTAGAAAAAAAGCTTCTTGTTAAACCATTTTGTCAGAGAAGAACAGGAATACCTAGAACAAGGTTCCTTGATAACATCAATGAAGATATGAGAAATATGGGAACACATACCTAGCAGACGAAGGCGATATATAGAGACAACTGGAGAGACGTTCTTGAGGAGGCTAGGACCTACGCAATGTGCTAAGCCAGATTTATGATAATAATTTTTTATTAAAAAAGAATTATGGATAAAAATTCTCCGCTTTTTATTAAGAAAAAGGAACATAGCATGTAATGAAAATTTGAATAAACCTCATAAATTTTGTCTTCAAGTATATATTTTATCATTTTACATTTAAAAAGTTG